TTATGTCCCTCCGAATTGTTGGTATGTAGCTTTCAGTTTCACACGGCGTTACAGGCCGGAAGACGGCCCTCGACATTAGTCCTTCCGGTGGTCTGAAAGGCTGCCGAAGCTCGTCTGAATCATATTTAAGAAATCAGTCCGTATCGCAAAGAAAACACATCACCTCTCCATTACAAAGATCAGCGAGTTAATGCTGTTTAAGGGAATAATCGCTGTTTGCACTGAGAGTTACACCACTCTCTTAAATACAAAATGCATAGTAACTGATTGTTAAAGCAGACGGTACGTATAGTTACCACTGGGTTTTTAGAAGGTTAAAGTTAGGAGTGTGCAAAGTAAGGTAGACAGTCATAATTTTGATGGAATGGTTACAGGCTGTGCCGTAAGCTCGCAAGTGTGGACAGTTGATTGGACCATTCAGACTGATGAACGCAGTAACTTCTGTGCCTGATTCTCCACTGACAAATGATTTCGTCACGTCGTGGTCTGTGGGGGAACAAAGCCCGCAGTGTTCGTTAGAACAACCCATAGCATTTGCCTCATCCACGTGTCAGTTCTACATAGTTCCTGACACGTTTCCCCCCACCCCGTACCCCTCAAAAAAAACCCGATGTTTTAATATGGAACGTTTGTCTTCAAAGCGGATCTTAATTTCTGACGTGTTGTTTTTAATAAAGCGGATTTTAATTTCTGGCTTGTTTGTCCCTCGGGAGCACAGGGTGTTTGTAAAATCTGTATTTTAATTAAATAGTCGTCGGAAAATAAATCTGGGAAATGAGTTTTCCACGATGGAAAATCTTCGCTGTGCCACACGTACACTGACTGTGGCCAGTGGACTACAACGCTTATGTGGTGTTAATTAGACATGCCTCGTGTTTATACAGGTGCATTATTTACCCGAAATTGTTTTTATTTCAACACAATTGATAGGAACTTATGGACTCCCTTGAATTCTGGTGTATTTTTACCCACCCTTTTTTTCCGAAATGAAGAGCTGCTCTGTTCCATGTGGCTCAACCATTGAACTTAATGGTCCATCAGACCGTGGGCGGTAAACAGGGAAGCACGTGGGCTGAGTTGTGGATGCGTGGCATTCACCTAGACAACCATTTCTCCCTGCAAACCCTCAGGACATTAAGTAAATCTGAGTGAGGTCTCAGGTTCTCATGACGGCAATTATGAAGATTACTGCCCTCTGGGATGTCTCATATGAATTTACCGACGTTTCGGAGGTGCTTGCTGCCTCCATCATCAGAGGAGCAAATGTTTCCTACTACTCATCTAGAAAACTTCTTCCATTCCGACTCTCCTCTCCGCTTGTGCCTCGTTTGCCTTCAAAGCCTACGAAGTTACATCACTATTTTTACAAGAAATCACTGAGCGTCGCAACCGATTGGTTAGCAATCCAGCTTCGTATTCTGGAGGTCTCGGGTTGAAATCTCTGCCCGATGGCAGGCTGTCCTGCCCGACGTTGTTTGTAGTTTTCCTCAGTCCCTCCAGACCGCTTCCTTCCATATCCTTTCCAACTTTTTGTTCGTGCTGTCGTTTGACGCGATGTAGCCCTAACTATCGGCAGCATCGTTAAACAAACCTGAAATTAAATAAATATAAAAGACTTTTGTTGCTTGGTGTCTATAAATGACATGGCTGTTGAATCAGGGATGTTAAAACCCCTTTCTGCCCCATGAGTAGTATTGGGGCCTTTGATAGAATGTTGATAAGGAGCGTTTTTACCGGGGAGGGAGTGGCATTTCTGCGCCTTGGGTAGCGTTAATTTTGTAATTGCTCCTTCATAAACTGTTCATAGCGTGTCATCGGTTGTTTACTTGATGAGGGGTCTGCCTGTGTCTCGTTAGCTGTACTAAGTATAATTCCATTCGCTTATCAGATGTTTCCGTCAGTATTTATGGAGGAAGATAAGGCACTAATTGGGCAAATGATTCTCAGATATGATCTCATAAAATAATTACGTATGTGCTTCGTGGCAGGAGAATTTTCATTTTATGCATGGTACCTTTCTGGGTTGTGACACCTTTCGAACGTGTAAATGGATACCAACGTTTGTATTTCCTTCCATCTCTAGGGCTGCGTTGGTACCAATCTACAGTGGTAACTTGTGAAACTCATCAAAATTGATTCTTTTGTTCATATTATGTCATGTCTCATTTTAATGTTGAAAGATATTCTTTTCATAAATTCTGTATTTATGTCGTTCTTCCACCAACGGACGTGTCTTCTCGTCCTCTGACAGCTTTGTTGAGTTCTCTCCCCGAAAACTACTTGATGAGATGTGAGGTGTAAGTTATGAAGTTCTCCGTTATGTAATGTACACCATTCCTCTCTTCCCCCCATTTGCCTCTCTTTAGCACATTCAAAAGGCCACGAACGCCGTGTCATACGTCAGTGCAATTAACGCGTGCTCCATTGAAGTGTGACGTAATGGAACCGTGTCCTTACGTAGTTTATAAGTCTATTAAAGTGTTAGTAAATTTATATCTTTATAACTAAATTAGAATTTACCCATCTGGAAAAGGGTAAGTGATCATGTTTCATACAGCGACGTTTCTTCGACTTTGAAACAGGGTAAAAACAGAAAGAATGCGTAGCTAAGAAAGTTGGTAGTCGGTGCATGTGAAACAATTCGTAAATTTTCTTCAGACGAGCGTCGGCTTCAGAGGCCGAATGTGACGTGGGCGTCTGAAGTGACTTCATGCACGTCTAACCTTCAGAACGCGTGTCTTGGAGCATGAGCTCGTATTGTGTTATCTTCAGTGGAGTCAGGCGGGCGTCTCAAGGCGGAACAGACGCTTCAGTGTGTGACGTTCTTCGTGTTGAGGTCGTCGTCTTTGCGGTGTTCCAAGCAGATTCTCTCTCGACACGACACGTATCATTTTCGTCCGTGAATTTTTTACGACTGTAATCTTGGTCTGGTAAAGCATGACTGAACGTCCGAGGATTCAGTTTGCATCGTTTCCATAGAAAATTAACTTAGTGGATAATACAATATGTTTGACGACGTTTTAAAAAAGGTTCAAGGCAATCTGTGAATGCGCATTTCCGCTCTCAAGTGTTTTATACGTGATGAAGTGAAAGGTTTAGTTAGTTAGTTAGTAAGCTGGACGTACGTCTGCGTGTCGATTGAATTTTAGTTGAGTCATCGTAATGACTGGGATCTAATTCACGGGAAAGACGAAAAACTTAAAGAGTCTTTCTGGATAATGTAGCTGTAATTTCATAAACTTTAGTAAAGTTAGAGAAAATATATTTAACTTACCAGAATTTAGTCACCATTTATGTGTGTCGATGTAGTTAACTCTGCTGTGAAGTATCTGAAAGCGAGTCTTGGTACAACGCCGGTAGAATTTATTTGATCTGGTCGTTTCATGTTCTTGTGCGTGCAGATTTTAGCAAACATAAAATCATCGGTTATCAAAACATGTGCCTTCTGTTCTAAGCAAACTAAAAGACAATATTTTGCATAATCAAACAAAAGAAACAGGGCTCGTGACAATGCGCCGTTGAATTTCGTGGCAGTTAACGGTTGTTAATGTTTGCCAACTATGTACAGTTATTCCATATCCATCTGCTACCTACATGTCGCTTCCCCTCCCCTCCCCACTTCACTTATCACGCTCCATTCTCGCGCATATCAAAGGTCACAATAAATTAGCGGGGCAGTAGCACCCAAACTCAAATGAGTGCCTAACACGACAATATATTTTAGAATTATGACAAGACTGACAACAAATTATCGATGTGAAGAAATTAGCTGAAGAAGCGAGTTGTTGTGTTCAGTGACGTGTTGATCGTCAGACGATGCAGTTCGAATTGAGCCGTTTGCATCACCGTAGAGCCACTGTAGACGGTGGTGAAGAATGTGACGCTTATTTCTGCGCGTCGCCTCGTCCCAGCGTCCTTCTGATGAGGGTCATGAAACGAAGGTCAAGTCTCGGGCTTTCGCCAGATTTGGAGAAAGGTAGCTGCTTCACAAAGTTCTAATCTTAAAGTTATTTCACATAAAAAATAACTTTTTTTTAACGGGTTGTTTCGCTGAAGTCGTTAAAACAGACTCGAAACAACGTGTTTATTGTAATACTGCATCCACTGAGCTGCAGTATGACTTAACATTTTATAGACTATGAAAAATGTATTACAATGTCACCCTGGGATGTCTGCTAAAATATACGTGACTACGCTGTAACAGATGTTCTTGCTTTCTGCTGCCTTGCAGTGGTTTAAAAATTAGTTTACTAAGGACCGCGGAGGTTTCGGGCGCCAGAAGGGAAGAAGTTTAACTTTTATTAACCTTTTGCTTTAACGAGAAAGGTGAAGTGAGGTTGAGTGGGGTTGCAGAAGAGGGATGAGGCATATGTTTTAATATGAGGGTGACTAACTGTCTTTGGGGTGTTGCGCCATGTAGTCTGGTACAAGTTCACCGACGTTTCAACGGTTCTTGCTTGCCTCCGACATCAGGGCGATAACAAGTCATCTAATATACTCGCCGCTGTGAGGACCTGAGATCTCACTTATTTTGATGTGGTTTTTCTCTGCTTAGTTTTATTAAATTTTTATTCTCGTTTCTACACAAATCTGAACTTCAGTTTCGGGCTGCCAGGTGTGTTTTATTGTGCAGCTGTTGGGAAAGGACCGTTTCAGTTCAACGGGCAAAAATTTATATAATATTCTCATCCCTTACCGCTTTCTTATTTCCTTTATCTTTCTCTTTTTCTCATTTCTCCCCATTCCTTTGCCATTCATTTCCCAGCCTACAAATTACAGTAATTCGGATTTCTGAATTCGCCTGAGTGATAACTTTCTGTGTTTCCTCAAGATGGGTCACCTTCATTCGGAATCTGCCCGTGTTTCTGTGTTACTGTGCACGTGTCACTTTCTTTGGGACTGCCACTGGTCTGTCTTCACATCGAGCACAGCTCTGAGCATAAAGTTTGCCACAGAAACTTTCCTGGTGAGTGTTCCTGTACCTCGTGTGTTTGTTGCAGATTGGGACGGTCTGGGCGAACACGATCGGGTACATCGGCAACTGTCAGTCTCCAGCGACTCCAAACTACTGGACGAAGACATCCGGGAGGAGGCGAGGGTTATCCTTAGGCCTAAGAAACCTCCGCGCCCCAAGTCAGAGGTTTTCCTCAATAAGGAACAGCAAAGGCGGACCAAGAGGTACTCCGCGTTTGGGGTAAGTTGTCCTACCCGGCCACGCGGTTGACATTTCAGGTTCTCATCTCACGACGGCGAGTGTGAAGATCGGTGTCTTCTGGCATTTTATTCCGTGCAGTTCTTTTGAAGTTTGACGACGTTTTTGGGGTGTTTGTTACGTCAGTCATCAGTTGCTTTGATCATCTCAGATTTGCCACGGTAGCCGAGTTGTTAACGCCAGAAGTTCCGTTCCTGTAATTATTTGAAGCGTCTAAATAATAGTTTAACGTTCAGTCCGTACCTCAAAGAAAACATATCACCATTTCAAAGATCATTTGGTTAATGATGTATAAGGAAATCATCGCTGTTTACAGTGAGAATTACGCGGAAGCCCTAAATACAGTGTACAGGTAGAATTGTTGAGTGTTAAAACAAGTGGTGCATATAGTTACCACTGTGCTGTAAAGAGTTTATCGCGGGATGTTTACGTTCGCCACCACGTCCGTCGGTTCTGAGATCCGCCCATTTAGTGCAGCATAGTAATGAAGCGTTTCTGAAACAATTCCAGGGCGAAGCGTATCGTGTCGTAATGGAAGGAGTTTGTCGTCGTGGGTCGAGCGATGTGACTTGCAGTGTCCCTGCGTCAGATTCACTGATTCTCGTAATCCTCGACGCTTCGTCGTCAGATATTTCGCATTCAATCGGACTGCATGTGCGTCGAGACGCGCCCTAGTTCTCGGATGCCTCGTGTCACCCCGCAGACCGGCGCCTTTGGAGTGGAATTGGGTGACTGCGTGGTCGTGTTCTGCCAGATATTAAATGATGAGACGAGAGAAAGTCGTGGGGATGCTGACAAAGTTGAGAGGAAACGGTGGTTGTGGAATCGCGCTGAGGGTTTTCAATGAGGCGGACGCTTCGCGTGCACATTTCAGCGAAACAAATTTTAATAGGATGTGTCTGGTTGGTAGTGCACCAAGCCTTTTTCACTCCCTTATATCTGACTATGAACATAGGCCTGCATATATTCTGAGTATAGCTGTTTTCTAGGATGTTGCGCCGTATACTCTGGTGGAAACAACCGACGTTTCGGAGATACATACTGCCTTCATCATTAGAGATGAATCTTTCGTGTGTTTCTCTCTTTCTGAACCATAATTCTTGTTGTCAAAACTGGAATTTTGTCCATCGTCTTTGCGTATTGTAAATCACGCTTCGAAACTTGGTTCTGCTTCCGTCTTCAGGTGTCAGGAGCTCAAAGGCGAAATGTTTTGAGTCGCCTGGTCGAGCTGATTTCAAACCTGTCTAGGTCGCAGCTCCTCGTATCATCTGAAGAGATTATTCTTACAGGCTGGTCATCAAGTTCTTAGGGTTATATTTCGAAGCGTTGTCTCCATGTCATCGTCATTAACTTGAAAGTGTGACGCTATTCGTCTTGTGTTAATAATTTGAATCTTGACGCTGAAGAGAGAGAGAGACATTATTGTTATTATTATTATTATATTAAAAATTGTCGAGATAGGACCATATTCAATTGCAAACGTACTGTTTAAGAAAATTATGTCTTTAAAGATTGTTATTAATTATATTTTGAAACAGTTAAGTAACATTTTAGTCATTTTATTGATGGGGTGAGAATGGGGGGGGGTGCCTTGAACTCTTCTGTTTACATTAAGGGGGTCTGAGACTAAAAGAATGATCCGAAATGCCCTAGCGGCGTCTTTGCTGGAGATTTTAAGAAGATTCTGGTAACCAGCGCCTTTGTTACAAACGTAATCTCCAAGGTATCTCGTAAGTTGTAATGATGATTGCGCGTAGTGGGCCCCAAGGGTGGGATAAGTATCAGGGGGTGGATAACCTTCGGTTCTTCCCTCATCTGATGTCTCCTTTGGGAGATCGATGGAGGAAATAATCGTTGCTTAATTATCCGTCCAACTCAAAGTGGTCTCGACTCTCCTTTCAAGAGCTTACGCAAGAATAATTCTATTAGTACATAAGAATTTATAGTAGGGGGGGAGGCGGCCAGGGTTGCCAACTTGCAACCGAGGGAAATCACAGGAATAATTCTATTAGCGAATGAGAGTTTCGGGTGACTGGGAGGGGGTATCCAAGGTTGCTAGCTTGTAAGCTATGTAAATCACAAGAATAATTATATTAGCACATGATAATTTAGGATAGGCCGTGCAGTGTATGTTGTCTTATTTATTACAGTTTAAGAGAACGGTGTGCAGACAAGGTTGCCAACTTGCAGGCAAGTGAAATCTGAATTATTTCATCTGTTATTTCAAGCGAAGAAATTTACGAATAGTAAGTTAGACCTTTTTAGCTTATAAGATTCAGCGGAACCAAATTTCTAACAAGACAGATTGCTGCAGAATCAAAAATCATGCATCTTAGCGTCGAGGTATTTGATTGAGCCTCCCAAGTTTTCACTGCGGTGAGTATGATGATGATGATGATGATGAATTGGGTTTCGACGCCGTATGGACTTGACGCTAGATGCGAGCGTTTCGGAGAAATAGAATCCCATCGTTAAATCAAACAGTTGTGTTGTTATAATGCGTTGATGAAATATGTTTATTTCACTAATTAAAACAAAATAAGACTCTGCCTTTATTAAATTATAATATAACTGAAACACACCAGTTTAACCCTTTCAGGCACAGTTGTACCTATATGTACCAAATGCTTTGGCGTTCACTATGTTGCCCAGACTGTGTTTATGGGTGTAGCATTATTCTGGCAGTAAACACTGATTATTTTCTTAAAGGGCATGAATTAATTGATCTTCGTGATGGTGAAGTGTTGTTTTCTTTGAGGTAAGATATGAACTTTTAAGTATTATTAACATGAATCCACAGATCCATAAATACACTCCGTAGGATAAATACAGAGATTCTGAATGTTAAAGCAGGTGGTGCATATAGTTACCATTGTGATTCAAATGTTTAAGCCCTTTGGTCTGTTCCGATTCGTAATTGGGTATGAAAGTACGAATGTTTCAGATATTAGATGGGATTTCTCTGATGGGAGATCGTCTCATCGTAAATTCAACGTAGAACAGGAAGACGTTGACGTAATCCATGGCTCGAACGGAATTCGAATCCTCTGTCTCAGTGTCTGAGGGTCCAAGACTGTGCGGGCCTTAGACCATTCCATCTTGGTCTGTGGTCAATACCAGAACCTTTGTGGATCACGTCGCGTTTTTATGTATTGGCGCGTTGCGTCCGTCACTTGACATCCGAGCGGATCTTTCGTGTTCGTCAGTGTTCTGATGCCTCTCTTTGCTTTTCATTCTTTTACACGCTTTCCGGAGGACTTGCATGTATCCCGTTCGGCGGTCTGTGAACGGCGATAGCTTTCAAGTTCAGTCAGCTGCAGCGCAAACATTCGCTAGACTCGTCTGGTCTTTTGCTACCGTAAAATTCCCCGTTGAAATTCAACGGGAATTATTTCTTTTGTATCTCAATCCCTTACCCCCTCCCCCTTTTGTCCTTCCTTTCTTCCCGTTCGTTCTCTTATCTTATTCCGTCCTTTCGCCCTATTTATTTCCCATCTCTTCCCACACTCCATTCTCCTCAACTTTTTTCTTCCCCTGGGCCAATAAATTTTGGGGAGTGGGGAGATTTATGTAGGGTCAGAGGAAGGACACTTTTCAGCTCTTCAAATTTCAACCCTGAAGATGGAAACAGTATGTTTCTCCGAAACACTGGTGTCTACACGGCGTCACAACCCATAAGAACATTGTCAACTTCAGAGTTACACACACACACACATTTCACTGTTTCATGGTCTGATACGTAAGCCTTGTTTTGTGATGTAATTTGGTTTCAAAAACGACCAGGCTACACTGTGCTGGCTCCGTGAGTTCCGATAAGTTGCCCGTTTAGTGGTGAATTGTGATTAATTATTTCGAAACTTTTGTTATGTATTTCTGTAATTCTGATCGCATATGATTGCAATAGCTGGGGGGGAGGGGGTCCCCCCCTGAAAGGTAATGATTGATGCGACGTCGCGGAACCTGTCGATCGCCTGTAGGCCGGGCATACACAGTAAAACGTCTCTGAAGTAATTAATATGCTGACAGCTTAGTGAAGTCTCCAGTTGCCTGTAATGGAGTGTCGCGTGTTCAGAATTCCCCCTCGGTGGACATTATTTTCTACGAAGTTTAGTTGACACTGATATTTAATCTCTTTACAACACTCATACGATTTACAAATGTCTGGAACTGAAGTGTTCAAGAAATATTTGTACCTGACGACGTATTTGAGATAAACCGATTGGAATTTCGGCCGGTTTACCTGCTGCCCTATCCTAAAGCGTTTTGTGATTTTATTCGGTTTCCAGGTGTGTGTTACAACACGTTTCGGGACTTGTCTCTATTCCCGAAACGTTTTGTGTGTCGAATATACATCAGACAACGGTAAATGCCGAAAATAATATTCGTAAAAATGATTTAAAGGCATTACGAAATGCTTTGAAATATGAAGTCCTTTACAGTGAAAAAGAAACCCGCTATTGGATACACCAACCTTGTTATCACAAAAATCTGTTTTACTTTGTAGCTTTGAATTAAGATTTTTGGTTAGTTAGCGTTTGCTACAGGTGTTTCAGAACCTTGAAGCATGCCAGTGATATATCTATCCCCTTTAATATGCCCACTGGTTAATTAAAGTTGGCGATCCTATCTGTGGTACTGAACACGCAGTTGCATTATGCGACAGCCTCGCTCCCTAATAACTTCTAATATAGGTCACTTCACTTTCGAGTGACCGCAGGGCTACGTGCTCCGGATGACGTCACAACTGGAAAAGGGGGGAGTGAGATCGATTATGGTTTTCTGCGTGCACTATAACCTTGCGTGAGAGCAGAGACAACAACATGGCATAATTTGAATGTTTATCTTGTTTGCCATAATATTTGCTCATTTTAGCCGACGCCAGTGGCAAAATGTTTGAATCAAAATTCCTCTCCTCTCAGAACACTTCAAACGTGTCACTAATTCGGCCTAAAAACTGAATTAATGATCATCTGTCGTTAACA